ACAATGACATTGTTGTAGAAAATTGTATTAAAAATGTAATTTTAGCAGTCAAGATTGTAGACCACATGATAACACTGCATGAAGCTTGAATGGTGGATGATTGCAAGATCCTACATGTTTCACATTAGATTTCTGGTTCAAGCTCGAATGGTTCACAGGGCTTTAGCTGAACTGCTATGTTATATGTTACATATTGGGCGTTTGCTCTGTTCTTAACAATTTTTGTGTTTGTTGCTCACCATGCTCATTGGTATATTGGCCTTATCATCATAATACGCTTTGGACATTTTATGACCTCACATGGCTTAGTTATTTTAAATTTGTTGTACAGCAGCATTAAAATCAGAAATGTGGTTATGCTCTTATTACCAATTGAAATATCAAAAAGTGCTTTTATTTCAGGAAATAAGGGAAGCACTAATTCTCATGCTCATCTTTGTTGTCAGCGGGCTGCTTTGTTTGAGAATCTACATCAAAATTAGGTTGTCAACTTAGGTCTGCAGTGTGGCATTGAACTTGGATTGTTTTTTCAGTGGATCTTTTAAACTGCCACGCTTTTCTTTTTTTTCTTTTTTTTTTTCTGAATTCGGTGAGCCGGGTAAAGAAGAAACTTGAGTTTCATTAATGTTCTGTTATATTTGCTTAAAGTTGTTTTCACTTTGACTGGTAGGTCTGTTTGATCTCGGTCATTTAACTGTAAAGTTCTTTTTTAGGGTGTTGGTGGGGAGCTAAACTTTGTAATGGGTTGCAAGAGAGATGAAATTACTTCACCAAATAATAAGAGGAATGCTGGTACTAGCATTATGGATCTACCCACCTTCATTTTGGTAAACATTTTATCAAGGGTACCAAGTATCACCATTTTATGCATCAAAAGCGTTTGCAAGACCTGGTATAGGTTCATCTCAGATCCTCATTTTGCTGACACTTATTTCACAGCTCGACAATCTGTTAATCTTGTGCTTTCGACCAGAGATTCTGCTTGCTCTTTTCTTGAGCTTAAAGCAGGTGACAATAATGACAATCAACTTAACTATAAGAGTGGTTTACCTGCTCGGCTCTCTGATGATAGAGTGGCTTTCTTAGGCTCTTGTAATGGGTTGATTTGTTTCTCTGTATCCTCCAACTCAATGCCGAATTACAGTGTTCTTTTTATCTGTAATCTACTCCTCAGAAAATTTTCTCCAATTCCCATACCGAAGGTGGAAAAAAATATTCGAGAAGATGTGTATGGGTTTGGATATAGTCCATTGACAGGCCACTACAAAATCTTGAGAATTTTCACTAAAAAGTGGCATCCAGGAAAATCTGAAGCTCATGTTTGTACTATAGGATCTGATAAAGATTGGAGAGTTATAGAGAATCATACTCCATTTCCAATGGGTAGGAAGTGGTCAGAATTCAGTAATGTAGCCCAGTTGAGTGGGGCTACTGTTAATGGTGCTCTTCATTGGATAGTTGAAAATTCTCAAAATCCTGATTTTATATACTCATTTGACTTGTGTGATGAAGAAGTTCATCGAGTTCCACCTCCCCCATATTTGGGAAAGAGAAGCTGTTGGACCAGTCTAGGAGTATTGCGAGATTGCCTTTGTGTATATCATACTATTTGCCCTGCAAATCTAGACATATGGTCGATGAAGGATTATGGAGTTGGCAGTTCGTGGACTAAAGAAAGCTTTTCTGCGGATCACATTCCAGTTGGTTTGGCAAATCATGCCGTTCTCCCAATTCTTACATGGAGAAGTGGTGAGCTGCTGATGCAAGTGGATTCTGGCCCTCTGATTTCTTATTGTCCAAAATCAAAGAAATGTAACGTTCTTCAGATTGAGTCTGATTTTGGTGGGTGCTTCATAGCAGCTCCGCATTTCCCCAGTTTTCTTTCACCAAAGACTGCTCTGAAGGAATGCCATTTAGTATCGTCGAAATGACTGCTCTCTTTTGGCTCTTCCAACATGATTATGTGACCTTTTTTTTCACATTGTTGTCGCACTCAATCAAAAAAATTCATTGCCAGGAACTATTGTTGCAAGGCTCTCCATGCTTCTTTTATTTGACCTATTGTGCCTCATTAATATGTTCTTTTTTTTATTTGTTTATTTTGAATTTTTGGTACTTACAACCGTGATGTTTATCACTGGCAAAATATCTTGGTATCATCAAAATACCTTTGATGCACTGACCTTACCCTTACAACAAAATTGATGGGAGAGAGCAAGGCAAACATTTCAATGTTTGGAAGGGTATATATACGAAAAGATAGAAATTCCAAACAAGAAGTGAAAAATGTAAAACAAATGTGACAATTAACATTAAACAGTTGCAAGCTACCTCTGCCTGGCAATGACCTTGGCTTTCCTCCTGTGCAGAGATTCTTCTTTTCTACATCATCCCCTCAAAGAAATCATACGCATTTCCACTTTTGTGATTAAATTTGACGGATGAAAAACTAGCAGGAAAGAAGACAGATTTCAGCGTTTGTATCCGCCAAAACATCTGTGCCTTCTCTGAAATGAATTCAAGGCACTGATAAGATCTGCCTCTTCAAAGTCTGGAAGCAACTTGTCCACAAAAGGAATTCAGTGTATGCCAATTGCCACAGCATGAAGTTGCTCACTCTTTGTTCACCACTGGTTCTTGTCAGCAAATCTGGATTAGGGAATTCAACGCATTTCGTTTCTAGCTCTTCTTCAAACAATTTCCATTTATGTCTTCTAGCAGCGCCTCACCATCCCTAATTCTTTTTATAGCCTGCAATATTTCGTTTCTTCCATTATAGTTCATTGTTATTAGCATTTGTGGTCTCCTCCACCAAAGTCACGGTCTCCTGCGGGGACTTGGAAGCTTTGTTGCGTCCCCAATAATGGATACTTTTATGCCTTCCCTGTGACGAGGGACAATTGTTTTAGATGGAGAAATGGACCAAGCATGTTCCAAGATAGACTCGACTCCGATGAAGCACAATCCCTTGGATTATGTCGAAAAATTTAGCCAAGTATGACTTATATAGTCGTATTAGTGTTAAAAAAAATGATTTGTAGGACTTAACAGTCTTGACCAACGAACAAAGAATTCACAATTAATTCTAAAAAGCAAAAGAATCAAAATTATGATAGTTTAGTGAGCCCAAATTCGACTCAAAGATCTGTCAATCGAGCTTGAACCATGATATGCAGACGGGGGCCTGTGCGGAGCTAAGTACAATTGAGGTTGAGCAATTGCCCCTCCTCAACTGTGGAAAGCTGCTAAAGTTGCCTTAAGAATGTTTAAAATTTTTTATTTCAGTTTTTGTTTTGTACCCCTTATAATTTTCAAATTTCCTTTCTTTCCCTAAATTTATAGGATAATTGCATTTGTAGCTTGCTTTAAACACGAATACATCCAAAATAAAAGTATTATTCTCTTGTTTTCAAATGATAATTTATTTTCTTTTTCTATCTTAAGAAAAGAAAATAAAGTATTAATTGAAAACAAAAGAATAATCTTTAAATTTTTGGGACATACAAATGTATAAATGATCTTCATGTGTTGACTTGGAAAATCATCCCAAAATCTCCAAGGATTCAAGTGCCAATTAGTCAACATAAATCCAGGTACGCTTTCGCAATTTTGCTGTTAATTTATTTTTTAATAATCACCATTCAGATTTTGGGTTTAATAGGTAATGGTTTTCAACAAAGTTAATATAAACATCCACCTAACAATATCTCCACTAAAATGCATGTAGGAAGGTCCATAATGCTCCTAACTGTTCTCGCCGTTAAATTTCTTGTTGCTCTCAACCTTTTGCAGCTTCCCATGCTGGTTGCTTCTGGTGAGTTTATGGCAGAACTAAAATCATAAGGTTGTCTATTAGGCATATGGGGGCGAACGGTCACATATATATGGGAGTCTGACAGTTTTAGGATTTAGGATTTCCTATTCCTTTTCTGATTTTTTTTAAGGTGGCATTATTATCAAAGCACCCTTTTTTTTTTATTTAACGTCGGCACATTCTATTTATACTCCCTCCCTCCCAATGCATCCCTCTTATATTATTACTGTTAAATTTATGACATGCATGTAAAAATTGAATTTCAAATTTAAAGATGAGGTTTACGGGTTTGGATTTAGTCGAGCAGCAGGCCAATACTAGATCTTGAGGGTTCTGACTGTAAAGTGGGTACGACAGTTAGAAGCTCATGTTTGCACAGTAGGATCAGATGACGGTTGGAGAAACTCGGGGGAGACTTTCTGTGGATCCAATCCCAGTTAAGTGGTCAGAGAAGACCAATAAAGCTCGGCTATGTGAGGCTACTCTTAATGGTGATCTTCATTGGACAGCTGAATATGAAAAGTACAACGTGGATTCTGAATGCATTTAATTGACGTGAATTACTGCAGCATGATACAGTGTTCAATGTTCCCCAGCTCATATAGTCTTCTGATAGTTGAGGATGCATTGGGGTGCTGTGGAAAAGATTTTTACGAGTTGGAACAAATTTATGTACACTTCATTTTCTGGAAGCATTGGGTTGCTATGGAGAAAGATTTTTACTAGTCGGAACAAATTTATGTACACTTCATTTTCTCTTCAGAAGTTGTTATCTTGGTTGTAAATGTGATACAAATCGTATTCAGAGTAAGAATGGAAAATTTTCCTGGCAACGTTGTCATTGATGGGCAATTTGTTATGTGCAATTTTGCAAATCATTGTATGCCTAAAGACTAACTAGACAACTTGGGCGCTTTTATATTTTTCCAATTTGAGAAAGTTATTATACACTAGATAAACAGGCCATACACTAAATTGGTGACTCCAGTGCAGGATGCTGCGTTTTAAAGAACAAAACAGTATTTAGGTGAATGCTTTGTTGTGATTAATTGACTTTATATTGTTGAAAAATTTCATGAATGCTTGAATTCCTTCCCAAGGTGCTGGTTAGTGATAAAGGCTACTTTGAACGGACACTAGAAACCAAGTGACTGAAACAGAGAAATTAGCAACAGGGATCTTTGAACTAGTTTCGTAAAGAATCTGCAATAGTGATAGATGGAACTGCGCCTGATGTGTTGAAGGGATTCGCTCTTGTTTCTTGTGACATGCTTGGAAATACAGCACCAAGAACAGGTACATGCTTAGGCTCGTCCTGTGAAGAGATTTCTTAGCGGCACTAAGCTAGGAAGGAAAGTGCATTCTACCTCTAATTGCTTTATGTTGGCAATTTCGAGTTTGGTGTGCTTTCTTTGGTCTAGATTGCAACAAACAAGTTCAGACGTACTAATTGATACTAGAACTGAATCATCTCCCCATCCCCAAATTTTGATTGATGAAATTTTGTCTAATAAAACCATGCAGCATCTTGAAACCCAATTTTCTCGTATGGAGTACTCTTTAGACCACGACTCCACAACCCCGTATTCCTTCATTCTCCATATATCGAGCTCATGAGAATCATGGTAAGCAAAAGATGATATGCAAAGACAATTTCTTAATACCAAGAGAGATCTTGCCTTATTGGTTTCCCTGTCAAGGGGTGGTGCCATTATTGACCTAAATCTTTCTTCACCAATATCAAATGCATATATGAACACAGCTATCCTCGTGTTAGAAGTACGCTCCCGAGCCATCCAGTGCATGGCTCCTCGAAAAAGCAGGCCTTGAGGATCCAAAACATAAGGGCAATTTACCATCTCTAAGATTCTCCAATTGACATCAACTCCAACTGTAAAAATCTCACTATAACGTTTACCTCCAATATCTGAATGGACAAGTAAGACCTTGTAAAGATTAGTGGACGGATCAACGCCAAAACCACCTGTAATCATATCATCATCCACACTCCTTCCTTCCGGCAGAATCTGGCGTTCTCCTAGAATAGGATTGCATATAAGGACATTGCTCCTAAATTCAGGGCAAGAGCCAAAATAATGTTCAATACAAACAAGGCCGTTGCAAGATTCCTTACATACACATGTTAAGGTTTCCTTGCGAATGATCTAATAGATAAATAACACACACAACCCCGTGCAGATTAGATGAAGCATGGCGGCATACAAAGTTTGTACAGATTATCCTATATATATGGAGAATCACTGAAAATAGTAAAGTTTTAGTTTCCTTTGTCAATGGCATGGAAATAGGATATTAAAGCTCATGCATGATTAAATTAACCAAACAAAGTAGAATTAAAATCCTCGTACGCCAATTTAAAAAATTTCCCACATAGATCACATGTAAAAACTCATCAAACAAATGGATCGAGCCCGCAGGAATTGTTATCTTTAAAAAAATTTTATACATGATTAAAAAATATATTTACGAAAAACGTAAAACTACAGTCCAGACAAGGTTAGGATTATTATATACCAAGATCACGTGCTTTTCGGTTTATTTCTTACGTGCAAACTTCATGAGGGGGTTTTCATTCATTTTTGTTTTTGTGCTAGTTATATGTACCTCACGTTTAATAAAGCTTGGAGAAGACCCCTCAATCTCAAAAGTTCATAAAGATACGCCCCTGTTGTTAGTCAACTAAGGATGACCAACACAACCTTTGATTTGTCTCGGGGTCAAATTATAACTAAAAGCCCGCAAGATGCCGACTTAGTCTTTCATCTTCCAATCCCACTAAAACCACAGGGTGGAGGAGTTATTGATTGCAAGCTCCGACGAAATTATACTTTTAATGTTGAGAATTATATTTTTTGCCTTATTTTCTGTTTAAGGTAAATGATCTTGTTGCCTCATGTAGTTTGGTTTTTCACTACATTACTCTCTTTGGTTTAAAATTCTATATATCTAATCCCTTCATAATTTGGATTAAAGTGTCATGTTAGTTCTACTGTTAAAATTGATGGTCAATGTTAACAAGTCAAAATTAAACTAATAAATTTAAAAAAAAAATCACCCTTTCACTACTTTCTTTTTCCCAAACACAAAAGAAATAGATAAAAAAATAGAAAATATGAATTCTTTAATGGCTACGAATATCTTTATAGATTTTATAAACCAAATCTTTAATGACTCCAAATCTTCAATGGTATTTTATATTTCTTATTTATCTATTGTTTATTTTTCTATCTTTTTTGTTTTAACATTTGAAGAAAATTAAGATTTAATAGGTCATAGTTCAGCTTCGTTAGGCCAAAAAGAGAAAGAAAAGGAAAAGAGAAAAACATTAAAAGGGTGAATTGATCAATTTATTAATTTCATTTTAACATTTTAATATTGACCATCAGAAGCAGAAAAAACTAACTATGACATTATAGGTCAAATCATATGAGAGCTATATATAAGTTTTTAAACTATTGCTTGAGATTATATGATAAAACACTAAACTACTAAGAGGTATCTCAGGCTTTGGGGACAATTCTTATGACTATATATATACTGATTAGTGATGGATCAAATCCGAAACCATGCGATGCTGGAACGTCTCTATCCACAGGAATCGATATGCATTTATCAAGTATAGGATTCCATACGTGATCCGTCAATGAATTTAAACCAGCGCCATCCTCGACCACCTACCCCAATGCAGCCCAACCCATTGCAAGAAATTTGCTTGATACTATCAATTAATACTAGTAATTGATTGAGAACCATGTCTTCTTTTTAGCAGCTCGTAAAAGAGACTATTGAGTGAAATTAAACTTGGAAGATATGCGTGCTTCCAGCAAAACTTGTTGATATCATCCATTCTAGGGGTAGACTTCCTTTCATTTATAGTGTGGACTATCAAGTTGATATCCCAAGAGAACGTTGAGTTCTCCCTATCTCCCATATTAAGGTTTTAGCACGTAGAATATCACCAAAACCATATCCTAAGAACCAACTTTGTCTGGTGGTGTACTCTTTGGACCAGTTCTCCAGGATTCTTTCATTTTCCACGTACTAAGTTTTTTATCATTAGCGTGACCAAGTATACTTGGCAATTTCGAAATACTAGCAAGCTGCAAGAGACTCCTCTAGTTCTCATCATGTCTGAGGGCGTGCGGACTGACCTGAACTTTTCCTGAATTATATGGAATGCACATATAAAATCAAAACTTGTTGGATCAATCGTTCCCTGAAACAAGAGCCCCTGAATTCCAAAAAGCTGATTCACTTCCTTAGGTGCTATTATACTTGGACTAGTTTCATGCTCTAGTTTTCACCATTTAGCATCAAGTCCTACAGTAAAGACCTCAGCATATGTTTTAACTTCTGAAATATCGTTAACTGGATTTCTTCTGCCAAAACTCTTACAACCTACCTTGTAATCATCAGATGAGGGATAGAACCCAAAACCATACGACACCAGAATATCTTTAATTTTGCCAAGGGGAAGTTCTGAATATTCTCCCAAAATAGGATTGCATATGTAGATGAACCTCGGCATCATATGCGCTGGATATGTCTCTGCTAAACAAAGTAAGCCTTTGCTAGATACTAATATATAAAGCTTTCCTTCATTTGGTGGAGCCCTTGCCCGGACAGGCTTCACTGTGAATCTTGATTCGCATCGATATTCACCCACTTCAAGTACTTTGGAAAATGTTTTACAGACGCAGCTACACCACAGAACAGTCTTTATTGGGAGTCTTCGAAATATTTCTACCCAAATACTGATAGGAAGGTCGAGAATGACTCTTGCCTGAGGAGATGAACCACCTTCTATTGTTTCTTGAATGCCTGATTCTCCTTCATCTTCTTTCTTGATAGTCATGTTGTTTCTGAACAGTTTTACGTACTCAGATCTTCATGATGTTTTTGAACCTTTCCATCTTGAGGATTCTACCAATATCACCTGATTTTGATCAGTTCGCTTTTCGTGATGTTTTAGAGACTTCCCATCTTGAGGAATTGATCAATACAGCCTGATTTTGATCCACTTGTCATTAGATGAAGTTAGTTTTCCTTAAATAAACAGTTTCCGAGTTTGAACATTATTTGTTGAGACTTGAGAGTGGGTGCTAATGGTATTCAGTTTCTCAGTGTTTGTATTACGAAAGATTACCGTTCATACTAAAATTCCATTGGAACACTCCCCCTTAGTCAGAACACAAAATTCTGCATATCCTTTGGACCACAAAATGGATAACTATGAGTGCATCCCTTTAGATGGAGATACGAAAAATTCTTTGAAGAAAACTCTTTCTTTTCTGTAGAATTTGTGAAGTATAAATTCTTTATTGTATTTGCATTTGTGAATGACCAAGCATGCAGAAAAATCATCTCCCACAAAAGTTCTGCTACACATAATAAACCATTGCAAGATCCCAACAAAAGAGGAAACCTTTATTCGGCAGCATATTAGCGATAATGGATCTCCAAATCAACTCAATCTTGATCCCCTAACACAAGCAGATAAGAACGGTTTGCATTATCAATTCGAGCATGTAATGCAAAGACTGACGTTGCTTCATCTGATAGGCATTATGAAAATAAGGTCCCTTAAGAGTTTGAAAAAATTCTTACAAACGCAGCCACAAGAAATTATAGAATTTACAGGGAGTGTTGTAAGTAGTTCTACAGTATACAATTGGGATGGTCCACGTTATTGACCCAAGCATTCTAAGTAGATAATGAAACTCCTTTTTCTTGTTTGCTTCCTTCTGATTCATCTTCTTCTTTGATGTTCTTGCAGTAAAGCGGTGCCTGCTTTGCTACATAATTTTTGCATCTTGGCATACAGTGATTGATCATAAACGACTACTACGTGCAAGACGACAGGGGGAAAAAATAAACAAATAGGGAAGATCTCACTTGGATATTCATATGGTGATTGTTTCATCTACTCCTTGAAAGACTCTTTAGATGATCCTTGTTAAGAGATGTAGATAACTACAAATCCTCAATAGAACCACTTAAATCGAATCGAATGGCAAAAAAAAAGGAACTGCTAATGACTGCTATGTAGAACCACTTAAATCGAATCGAATCTGCACCAAATCCTTCTGACTGCTATGTAGAACCGCTTAAATCGAATCGAATCTGCACCAAATCCTTCTGGATGATTAGCCCACTCAGTTTCTTTACCTTATAGTTTGTCATTTTCCTTATTCTTACTAACTAGACCCAAAATGAATTTTTTTTAAAAAAAGACCCTAAAAATGAATCGAATTTGCTATGGCTGGTGGCTTGGGTTTTGAATTGTCGTTAACAACTTTTCAAGGTTGTGATGCTGGCTGGGATTGTTTGCCGTGCCAATGGAAGATGTATTAACTGATTTTGGGATCTAAAATTAGTCAATTTCAACGGCCACAGGCCAATTAGCTTTTGATGCTTGAAGGGCCATTTTTCCAAAATTTTTGAAGTATTGATAGTTGGTATTTGATTTATGAAGTTGAGGCTGGATCACTGGGATTGATTACAGGGTGGAGGTAGGAAGGAGGGTGGTGATAGAAACTCAAATACTTAATTGGACAATTAAATGCATGTGTTGCAATATCTATGACAACTAATGGAGGAAAACAAACAAAGACTTGATGTCAAAATATTGCTCCAGAAATCATCTAAGAATGTACATTGATTCAGGAAAATAGAGTTGCTGAATGTAAGAGAGGCATTATCCAAAGAATCTTGAATAAATAGCTCAATAGAAGTAAATAATACAAAAAGTCTCCTGTCATTTGAACTTCAAAAAAGCTTATCAAGTGGTCAGAGAGGTCAAGACATCTCAATCCTGTGGAACAAACTCATCAAAGTTACATCATCAAACAAGAAAAGATAACAATATGGCAAATCCTTACCTTGGCATAGCTATGAATCTTCAAGTGTAATCTTATAAGGCAAAGTCCTTGACATTCACCATCACTTCCAAGTGGTTAAGAACCATCCTTTCTTCTGCCTGACCGGCAAAACACTAGCTTGTCCCACTGAGAATAGTTTCTTTAGTGAAATTAAGCTAGGAGTGTAAGTGTCACCATACACAAAATTGGTCACTCCTTTACAATCACGATAAATTTCAAGAAGTTCGCGATTAAGTTCGTGATGTTCAGCATACTTCTCTTCTTCTAGGTTATAGGAGATCAAACCTATCGTCCAAGAGAAAATAAACACCTCTCCATCTCCCCATTCATTGGCTGGAATGGGTAAAACCATAAAAACTTCATTATGTACTTTTTTTCGTGGAATTAGACTTACGCTGATTGAGTACTCACTAGCCCACGACTCCACAACCCCATACTTCTTCATTGCCCATACGTTCAACTTCTCATCATGATGAGTAAAGGACAATATGGAGAGACAATTTCTCAGTATCAACAACCTGCTAGTGCTGCAGCTATACTTATAATACACTCTGATTTTGACGATAATGTATTGTGGAATAGCAATCGACCTAAACTTTTCTTCGTCTAGATCGAATGCAATCAAAACATTGTAGGTTGCCATATCAGGCCAATAGCAACTCCGTTTAAGCATCCAATGAATTGCTCCCTGAAACTCAGGCCCCTGACATCGTAGTTGGTGATTGCAATTATCCTTTAAGATTCTCCATTTACAATCAACTCCAACGGTAAATACCTCAGTACATAATTGAACATTATCTCCATTTCCATAATATTTATCCACGATTCTAATGACCTTGTACTGATTCTTGGATGGATTTAATCCAAAACTAAACCACTCGTTGAAGAATTTGTCTTGTATTCTAGGAAGTGTAACATATTCTCCAAGACAGGATTGCAAACGTGAATCATTTTCCGTTTCAGAAAATTAAAATGACCTTGGTTGTAATTTTCTGACAGACAGACTAAACCGTTGCTAGATCCGAGTAATCTAATCACCCCTTTAGTTTTTGGCATGTTTTTATTAACAGGCAACGCATTTAGTTTGTGCTGATCTCCAAACTCAAACAGATAAAAAGAATTTGTAATTTTGTCACGCGTCCAGTTTAAATTGACCGAATTGAATATGATGCCAAAAGGTTGCTTGATCTTACTATACTCATTGTGAAAGCAAGAGTCCTTAAGGAGTTCGGAAAAGGTCTTGCAAACGCAGTGACAAATAAGTATGGACTTTACTGGAAGTCTAATAAATATTTCTACCAAAATACAGGTGGGAAAGTCAAGATTCAAGAATAGTAAATCTTGCCTCTTGAGTAGATGATGAAACCTTTGTTTCTTGGTTGCTTCCATCCATTTCATCTTCTTGTCCAGTACTGATGCAGCAAGGTAAAGAGTGTTTGGCTTTCAGACTATTGAACCACCCCATATTGAATTGTGAAAGAATTCCCCCGGAGAGGGCCAAAGAAAATTATTTAAACATGCGAAGCCTATATGGCAGGTAGGGGTGAGCAAATTCGGTACGCAAACTCGGTACGTATCGAATTTATACCCGAATTCAAATTCAATTTGGTAATTTGGTACAAAACCGATATTTTCCGAATTCTAATATGGTATGAATAGGTAATGAGATTATGAATTTGGTAATAATCGATTTCGAATTCATTTATAAAGAATTGGTTTAGTATTAGTATATACTACTAATATATTATTATATTTTATAGGTAAATGCTATTAATAATAGTTAGTATATGGTATTATCATGTACTTATGATAATAATAATATACAATGATGTACAATATACTATTTTAGTATTTTTTTAATTGTTATATGACTATAATAATACAAATATACAGCAATACATAACATAATTATAATACTTATTATTTTATACATGACTAGAATTAGATAATAATTAATAAGTATAGGTATAATACATAATTATATTTAAGTATAATTATAATACTTATTATTTTAATTAGGCCGGAAACTGCAATTAAAGGAGTCATCAAATTTTCTTTAAATGAATTCGGTTAACTCGAATTCATAACCATTTCCGAATTCAAATTTGAAAACGAATGAATTTGGGCATCTCCAATTTGAATTTGAAAATGGTTTAGATTTTTGTAAGTTCAATAATCGAATTTACCGAATTAATATAACCGAATTACCGAATATGCACAGTTTGCTCACCCCTAATGGCAGGAATGCAATGATGTATTACTAGAAAATAACGTACAAGAAAAAAAAAGTCAAAAAAGATGTCTCCTAGCCTACGGAGTGCAGAAGATTATTTGCAATATAATTCCTTCTCAACAGCGTACAAGAAAAAGACTCTAAAATGTCAATCATATATTTCTTTGCATAATTGGTTTAAATCCCCAAAAAATCAGGACAAGAATGTGCATAAGAAAATTTTTCGCAGTGAATAACTCCTCTATCAAGGAGTTATGATATGGTGATTGTTTCATCAGCTCCTTGAAAAACTCTTTAATTGATATTGCCGAGAGATGTAGGTAACAAGTCCTTCTCAATTACAAATGCTTAAAAATGGGGATAATGTATACGATATGATAACAGCTTTAATCATAAGGCCGTTTCTTTCACTTTATTATATTTTCCTTTGGTTGGCGTGCCTGTTAGGGTAAAACAAAGCCTCTAAGATCAAGAAACACATATAAGATAAACACTTTGAACATTTGTCATCACAAGAAAGAACAGTCAATTGGAAGTAAAGATTCTTCTGACAAGTATTGGAGCAGCTAAAAAAAACAAAAAACAAATGGAAGAGAGAAGAAAAAGAGCTCGTAAAAACAAAATTTGAAACAGTAGCAAAAGCTTGTAATTTGACTATGATTAATGGTGAAACTTCACAAATTTGAGATGTTAGTTTCAAGCCTTACAAATGTCGAATTATTTCTGGTTGAGCTATGATTC